TGATTCTTGACTGTTTTTAATGATTAATGTATGACACCATGGGTCCTTTCACACTTCACAATTATAGAACTGTAATTCTACTATAATTTTCCATCCTACATAAACCTGGAATTGGCAGTTTATTGAGGGATATCTAGACTTCTCAGCCAGAGAGCATAAGTGCCTCATCACACTACAAATCCCAAGATTCCATAAGCTACATCTATGACAGTGAAAGCAGAATCATTGTGCTATATATGCAGTATGAAAGGGCCCTCCCTATATCTTGCCTTTATAGGGATGAAGCTCATTAGACTGCAGTCCTGTAGCACATACAGTACAGCTACCAAATGAACTTCTTCCCCCACTCCCCATTTTGATACTTTGTGTCAAAATCCACAAATTCAAGACATTTTTTTCCTATTCTTTCCATGGGATCTGCAACCATTTAAGATTAACATTATTGTTTTTCTGTTGTAAATATAACCTTAACAAATGTGAAAATAGTCCTGTAAAAATAGATGAAGATATGTGACATAGAGCAGCACTTTTCCTCCAGTCTGATACTGCATTTCACACATTTAAAATTCCTTTCATAGCTGTTATCCTTAGCTTCACAAGACTGGAATTGTAGAGTGCACTTGGGGTTTCTCTGGACTGCAAAGAGCTATAGAACATGTTTTTATTACGTTATTAAGTCTTTCAGAATTATTCACCCTTAGAAATGCTGGACTCTGATGTGCCCCCTGAAGAAAAATGTGAGACCCTTCAGATGGATTCCTTTCCTTCACTTCCTTTTCCAAAAAAGATGAGAATCTTTTATTAGATATCATTTTACGGTCTCAGTTCATTAAGAAGAAAAGTGACTCCTGGTATGGGTTCACTAGCCTTCCTTTTTCTGTAGGTAAGTACCTAGAATCTCCCTTCTGTTTTGCTGAATAAGAAGTAATAAATCACATGACCTAGCATAAGCAAAGATGACCAAGGTGCATATTCCTTGTCTGAGAAAACCCTATGAAATTTGTGTCCACAGAAGTGGACAGGCAAATTAAAGGCACACATACTCACAAAACGTATGAAGCATGTTTATGAAAAGAAGAGGGAATGAATGGAAGATTTGATGGATGATTGACTTAAATATTATATATGTTTAGATATAGAACAATGCTGAAATTAGATATATTATGTAATATGTGTATATATAAATATGTAAGAGATGTATGTATTATGTTTATACATGTAGATGTTTACGTGTGATATAACAAATATTTTATAAAAATAAATAAAAGTCATATACTCTTGAACACAGCATGTAAATTATAATATCTGGCTGATTAAATATAGCTACAAATGTCATATCAGATTATTTATAGCCAGAGTTACACAACAGGCAAAACTTTACATCTTATTGGCTTCCCTCATTCCATTATAGAAAAAAATATAGCTATCCTTCTTTACCCTCTAGCCTCTTAAACAAGAAGCAATTCACATTTTAATGTGCTATTCAACTGGACTTCTCACAATGTTTCTGACTAGTTACAGTAATTCCCTTTGGACAGTGATCTCATCCTTACTGTTTTGATATCTCACAATGTTAACCATTTTCTCACAATGAATCAGGCTGTAAGATTGCAATACATGGTACATAAATTTGCAATGATGGCCAGTGGCTTCTGCCACTGCCAGAAGCATGAATCTGCTGAGGTTTTTATCTCAGACCTTAAAAGAGCTATCCAAGGTGCTGAAATCATCTCCCTTAAATATCGCAAATATCCTGGGTAGCTCCTTTAAAATCTTGAATAAAACCTGGAGCAGATTTCCTGCAACCCTAACCCAGAAGCCACCAACACCACTGATAGCTTTGTACTGCAAGATCATGACCAGGCAACAAGTTGCTAGCTAACCATTATCAGAAACCAAAGAAGCAGAGGTCTCAAATCTCCCCCAATTTTCTTGTCTCTGTGACTCCTCTAAGAATTGCAGATTTTTCTCAAAATACTGAGTGAAACAAGATTGTTTTCTATCCCTTTTAAAAAGGGAGGGGTGGGAAAGGGGGGTGCATTAACAAAACCCAGTTTACCTATTTGAAATACACCATGTGGTAAGCAAATGTGTAGAAAATTCCACACCAGATAAGGTAGTCTATGTTACAACTCATTGTTTCTCTGGATATCCACTCTACTGCGGTGCTAGTGGATTGTTTATTGTTATATGCCTTCAAGTCATATCTGACTTATGACAACTCTAAGGTGATCCAATCATGAGAAGTTCTGGGGCTGATAATCTGTGACTCATGGTGGATCCTGGAACCAATCCAGTGATTGGTTCTTCCTTCCCAGGACTCACATCAGGTCACATCCCACTTCACATCTCTGGTCTAAAGTTAATTATTCAGCACTAGCAGTTTACATTTACTGAGAACCACAATAAATGAAGAAAAGGGAAAGGAGGAGAAAATCACATGGAAAAATTAGAACAGACTCTTTAAAGTCCTGGGTGCTCCTTTTAACCATGGTTAAAGAATGAGGAAATGCTACATTTGCCCAAGATGACAGTGATATTAATAGAGATATCAATAGACCATTTTCAACCACATCCATGCATTAAACATTGGGAGCTGCTGACTTGGATCCTTTTCAGGTCCACTAAAGTACATGACCATTTTAATTGCTTTAAAACCAATGCTCAGCTTCTGCTGCTAATGGTAGTTGTTTCCCCTTTTTTACTCATGATAAATTAGAGTTGCAATTGAAGTAATTGGTAATTAGAAATGCTTGCCCCAAACAGAATGCACGGGTTTTTCACACCACTAAAAACAACTTAAATATACACTAAGTTAGATCAGTTGGCAGGGAAAAAGGAAAAAAAATGACTTGCAATTAGCAGGGAACTATGCAAGCTGCTATCACACACTTGCTGTCCCTACCAGGAGAAAAGCTAAGGTTTTAAGGACTTGTGAAGGTGGCAATATAGAATCATGAATATTTGATGTGTTGATGTTCATTTTGTGTCTATGGTTATTTCTACTCAAGTAGGCTTTGAAAATTTAAGAAACATTACGATAACATGTAAAGCGAAATTTTAGGTACTTGTGTATTCAGAGCTCCATCACCTCTCATGCATTGGCCTATCAAAGTTATTGGGAAGTCACCCAAATAGCAATGTCAGACTTAATTTTAAAATTCAACAATTTCAGTAGTATTTGGGGATGCTTACACCAGGAGTGACCAATTTCCTAATATGCAGGGACAACCTAGAACTTTAACAACCATTTTGTACATGGTACAGAAATGTGAAAGTTCTGTTTACTACAACTGCTATCAAAATTATTTGACAAATGTGTCAGTCAGGATTGTAATGGAGCCAGGGCACATGGGTCAAAGACTGAAGACTTTTTGATTAGCAGGATCTCTGCCATTTCACTCACAGTTTATCATCTTCACAATGATGGAAATAGATCATCTGTATGATAACAGATTGTTTTGAACTATCATTGTTGTAATTCAAAGTATTTAGGGTTGGGTTGGTCTCAAAGGAACAAAAAATAAATTTATTTATTTATTTATTTATGGGCTATTTATGGCTTGTTCCAGGTGGAGATATACACCAGTGAGAAATTGTGTGATATTAGGGATGGGATGGGAATTCACCAATTTCCCGAATAGGGTTGAAATTGGAGAGAATTGTTAGAAAGAAATGATTGAAAAGTGCTGTTTTGCTTAGGTATGGTAGGATCTAACTGAGTGTTTCAATTGTATTATCTTATGGCTCTTAAAATGTAGTATAAATAGTAATTACATTTGGATAGCTCCTTCAGGTTTTATTTCCCTTCACAGCTATATAAAGGCTTCAGACTCAGAATGCTATTAAAGTGAAAGACCAAAACAAAGACATCCCCCACCCCACTCTGGGATGCACAATTGTGACCAAACTATAGGTTTAAATTTAGGTGGACATTCTCAGTTTTTTGTGCAAACTTTGAATTTACAGGCAAACATTTGCCAAACATTTTTTCTTGTGGAAAATTACTGTTTTTGGACTGTTTTGCACAGAACATGGTGCAAAATATATTTTAAGGAATCTAAGTGCCACCAATCTTTTCCATCATTAAAATCATAAGCAATTTTTTTAACTAGGACAAATGTTAGTGTTTTATACAGCTGAAAACGTTATAACAGCTCTACATGGTAAATCAGCAGTATTACCATCACCACCAACCAATACTGGGCACTGAAGTGGAGATAGAGTGGCTTGCCAAAAATTATCTAATGTTTTCATGACAGTTAGCACCAGCACCTTGGAAAATCAATCAGTCAGTTTGATTAAAGAATCAACAGCACTTTATTGATAGATCCAAAAGTCAGACATGTGCCTCACTAAGCTTCTTAGCTGAGACTGACCACACCCTCCCCCACAGACAAAGAAAAGGAGTAGCCCAAAACCAAGCTCCCCTCCCCAACACAAAAGCCCGCTTGCAAAACCCCTCCTGTTTCCCACAAAACAGAAACTACATTCCAGGCTCAAAGAGACAGGCTCTCAAGGCCACCGATAACACACCTGGCTCTGCTATTCACTACATGCCTATTTTTCTATTATAACTAAACCATTATCCCCAACTACTAAACACTATACTATATATCTGATAGAATACTAACAGGATTCTAACAGATTTGGAATGAGAAACAACTTAGTCTGTAGCCTACATTTTTGTTTTCAGTCATACAATATACATGGGCAGTCACTTCTGTAAACAACCATAACATGAAAACTATTTTTTTCTTTTTTTGGTAGCATTCTAATTTTTTTTTTCTCTCTCTAGGACAGCCAAGTGCCATATAGGCTCATACAGTAATTTTGTTGTTGTTTTTGTCATTGTGTGCCCTCAAGTCTTTCCCAACTTACATAAACCTAAGGTAAATCTATCACTGGGTTTTCATGGCAGAATTTTATTCAGACTGGTTTGCCTTTGCCTTCTTTTGAGGCTGAGAGTGTGTGACTTGTTCAAGATCACTGAGTTTCTATGGCTGAGCAAGGATTCAAACCCTGGTTTCCAGAGTCCTAATCTAACATTCAAATCACTACACCACACTGGCTTTCTTTTTGATGTAGTAATTAAGATTACCACAGAATGGCCCCCTGAAAGCAGTGCTATCTATGGAGATTTCAGCATTTTTTTCAGGGAGACAAAATAAAGACAAAATATATGAAGAACTGAATGGATGCAGTGGGCAAAAATGGGCTCTTTGTGGCATCAGTCACACTATGCACACTATGAAAGCATTTGGAAATTATATTATGTTATTTCATTGACTACAAAATTATGCCCAACCAGCAAGTGGGATGCACTCTTCTTTCCTCATATACTGCAGGACTGGCAGCGATGGGCAATATTGTTTCATTAGTCCTCTTTCATCTTCCTTCTGTTCCCTCCTGTCTGGAGGCAAAAGTTTCCTTTTGAAAACTTTCATTTTAGGACTATTAGTGCTGCATTTTGGAGCTGCAAGACCTTACTATCAAAAAGTGCTTCTAAATCTGCCTTAGAAATAACTCTCCAATATAAGAAAAGAAAGCAGCATGAATTAGATGCCCACTAAAATACATAAACCAGGCTCTCTATCTGTAATAACTCATGACATTACATGCTGCCATGAGATTCCCCATGCAAGCACTTACTGGGTCAAAGAGAGGTGATTTGTGGAGTATCAATACCAAGCATTAATATTTTAAAATCTGCCAGACTGCAGGTTATAAACTCAAGGCCATAACAATAACAATGTGATGACTGCCATTGTAACTGTGACTCTACTAACAGATGTTTAAAAAAACCCAGCAAGTTTGGCAGGAAATAGAAAGTTTATTTTAAGTTGTACATTGTTTTATAGCACTTTCTTGGTGCTGATCAAGAGTTAGATTATTAAACAATATTTTAATAAAGATTCACTGAATACTCATGAAATTATCTCTATTTATATAATGAACTCTTATTGTAGGACTCTGCAATTTGTTCTGTTTATGCCTACAGTACTTTAGACTACAGACAGTTTATATAACAGCAAAATTAGTGTTTGTATATATATTTCTTTTTTATTTCTTCATGGGGTTTCTTTTTTACTACTTTTATACAGTATGCCTCCGTTTTTGCTCTTTTTATTGAGTAGTATTTCCTCTTTTATTACAATAATAAAGTAGGCACACTGTATATACAAAACCCATTAGTGCTATATATTAAGCTGACATTCACTTTTATTATTATTAAAATGGCTTAATGGTTATTGCTGTATTTGTGAGATATATAGATTAACCTTCTAATGGTTATTCTGGTATTAATAAGATCTACACAGCAATTGTGCAAACCTTATTGCTAATTTAAGAAGATATACAGGAGATTTTAATAAGACATAAGTATATTCAGTACTCAACTTGTTCACATAACCAGCTGTTACCATTCATAAAGCAACACATGTTGGGGAAAAGCTGCATATGCATAATGCTGAAAGAGATATTTTATGAATGTAACAGTGTTGTGGGTGCTTAAATTAAGTGTATGGTATCCACTTACAGAAGATTTCCTGAAATTGCAGTAAATTAAAGTGATAGCATACTAGATCCCTTCATCCAACCCAGTTTCATGCAGATTGGGACATTTATTATACAACACAAATCATTCAGTAAATGGTAAAAATAAAAATAAATAAATAAAAATGATCACCCAACATGGCCCTTATGATGGAACCACAACATTGTATGGGAACGGAAGGCCAATTTATCCAAAGTTTCACCTGAAAGGAAGAATCAATGCTATGAAATCTAAGACTTCAAAGGGACTGAACAACAGAGAGTGATAATTGCCCATCCAATCAGAAGGGAAAGGCACACTAAGGGCCACTTTATCAACTATTTAACTTGATCTGTTTATCAAATTGATCACTTTATCAACTCTTGCCCATCCAATCAGAAGGGACAGGCACACTAAGGGCCACTTTATCGACTATTTAACTTGATCTGTTTATCAACTTGATCACTTTATCAACTATTTATTAATTTGATCATTTTATCAACTATTTAACTTGATATGCAGCAGGGCTGCATAGTGCTGTATAGGCTGAAGTGGGTGTGTATTTGCTTCCTCTTCTGTATTTCAGTGATGTGCAATCACAGACATTAGAGACAAGATAGTTAACATAACTTCCCCAAGTGAGCCCATTTCCATGATGTTTGAACATGATATTTCCCTCTGCCCCTGAGCTCAAAAAGAGAAGGTCAGGCAAGGTCAATTTGAAAGCTTGTTGCTCGCATCTCTCAGGACTCAATGGGCAAGTCCAGAGAATCCCCTTTCAACATAAATTGAGTGAAACTGTGGGTGCTCACTAATTCCATGCTTTCTGCAAAACCTGGCACAAAAAAGATCAAACCCTGATTTCCCCCACCAGGCCAGTCAATAAGACAAGCCCTACTGTAAATCCTCTAAAAAATAGTGTGTTATCCCTAACAGCTACATGTACACCACCATCCCTCCACATTTCCTCCATTTTATAGAAAATGGAGAAAGGGCCAAAAATGATGCAAACCTGTTTCCATGGCATTATGGATCTTCTTGTTAACTTTATGTTTGTCATTAACTAGGCATCTAGGATCTCCTTCTCCTCTTCATAACTGTGTGGATAATATAGGTGAGCAAATCAGTGGAGTAGAAAGCCAACACCTTTTTATCTCATACAAATCTTCCAATGCCTGCAAGATAAGGGCTTTGTCTTTTAACAGATCCAGATCATTCCCACCCAGATGAAATATCAAAATGTTGGGTGGGGACCAGCTCTTCCATCAAATAATAATGGAAGGAGACATTGACAATAAAAACTTTCCTTACCATTCAATCTATGCTATTTCACTGAGCCCCACACTAGGAACTAGCAGTTGTTGTTTGTGACTAGCAATATTAAGTGACTCCATAATCCAATTTGTTTGAGTGAGTTACTCAAACTCCAATAATGAGATATGGTGAGATGAGAATGATCCTCTTAAGCAAAAGGGATTCCAACTGCAAGACACGTTCTTAAAGCCATTATGATAAAAATTCAGTCTTTGTCCATGGACCCCAATCAATATTTCCATGTTGCTAAATTATACAGTCTTGGAATGTGTCACCTGAATCAGAACATGGCTTCTCACAAAGCTCCCATCCTAAAATTTCAAAGCCATTTTAGAAAAAAGGAAATTTATTTTCCAGACAAAATTAACTCACTTATCAGACATTGACCAAAAAGGACAATATTTCAGAGGAAGAAACTGATAAAAGAAGTTCTTGCCTGTGAAAACCCTATGAAATTCATGGGGCCACCATAAGTTGACAAGAGACTTGAAGGAACACACACACACACACACAGAGAGAGAGAGGGGGAGAGAGAGAGAGAGAGAGAGAGCTGCCTCACAAATATCCATGCGAATTTTAAACTAAATTTTACAGAGGCCAAAGAGCCAGTGTTACATAGTGGTTTGAAAGTTGAGCTATGACTCTGGAGTCCAGGGTTTGATTCTCTGCTTGGACATGAAATCCACTGGGTGACCTTAGGCAAGTCACATGCTGTTAACTTCAGGGAATGGCAATGGCAAACCTTCTCTGAACAAATCTTTCCAAGAAAACCATGTAGGAAACAACGAAAGCACACAGCAGCAGCAGCAGCAGCAGCAGCAGCAACAACAACAACATGTTTCTATGGGACAATTGGCTTTGGATAATGCTTTAAAATATTTTCATCGCTTTATTAAATTTATTTAGTACTTGTTGCACTATATGTTATTTATCTCTAAAGTTGACATTTAATGGTACACAGTCAACACATTTACTTTTGACAGCTTAGTGAGTCGAGCAAACATCACTTTATCTCATAACACTACTGCTAGCTTAGTGTGGAAAGAGTAGAACCTAGGATTGCTGAAAAGGGACCTAAACCCCTACCATCATTTCTCTCTTTCTTAATATTTTTCCTGACAACATACACATCCCATAAAAACAAACAAAAAAACCCACATAAATTTGACATTATATAAAAATGCCTAACACCCCCATACAAAAATGAAAACCAAAAATAAATGCTTTTCAAGATATTTATTCTCTGTACTTCTGGGATATTGCTGTAATAAGTTACTCAACTCAGACAAACTGGGCTAGACACCTATTCCCACAGATTGATTAGAAGCACTTCCCCCCACTTTTTTTTTTAAATCACCATTCTGCTGTTTACTACATCTTCTTTGTTTATCTTTTATACCTACAAAAGAGTGGTGGTTCTTTCCAGAGATGGAACACTCAAGCATATGGAGATTATCACACTGCCATTTTCCATCCTTCCCTCCCAACCTCAGCATGGGATGAAAACTTTTAAGCACTGGTTTTATTGCATGCCTACATATCCAGGTTGGAGGCATCCCAATCATGGCATCCTGTACCCAATCCAAACTTCTCCCATATTTTGCAAACAATGGGAATGTCTTGTTCTTTCAAAAAGTGCCAGAGAAGTCCAGATTGAGTACAGGATGCCATGATCAGGTATGGGATGCATCTGACTTGGGCATGGAGGTGTGCTATAAAATCCGTACTTAAAAGTTTTGATCCTGCGCCAAGGTTGGGATGGAAGGATGCAAAAGGGCAGTGTGATAATATCCTATATTTGCAGAATCTTCAAGAGCACATTGTGAACCGAATGCCAACAAAGTATGAAAGGTTGAGCTGCCTCTCCTGCCTCAGTGTGGGAAGCAGAACCAAATTACATGTGCATCAAATGACCATTGTAGTCTTTTTTCCCATATTAGGCCTTCCCAGCATCCAAATTTGCATCCAGCACTGCAGCTGAGTCTGATTCCAGTGAAAAGCTTGGTTGATAGCAGCACACATATGAAATATGGTGTCATACTTCAACCATACTGGCCCTATAAATAAGCATAGCCATTTTAAATTATATCAAGATACTAAAAGCGAGAAAAGGCACACCTAAGTTGAGCCTCAATAATACATCAACAAAAATGACATAACCAAGTAACCAGTAAACTAAGAAAATGTAGAGAAAACATCAACATGCTTCAAATGCCATATCTT